TGAACAAATTTGCTTAAAAGGTCAGAACAGGTTATCTAAGCAGAAAAAAAGTTTTATATAGAAAAACTGAAAATTTTGATATTAGTATATAGAAAACTTTTTTTTACTAAGATAACCTTTTTGACTTTCTAACTAGAGTTGTTCAGAATATAATTTTGTATATAGTGCAAGAAGTCTATACCTGACAATCACGTGATCATAAAAACATAGTAACTTCAAAATGCTTCAAGAAGCAATATTTTAAAAAACTGACCGGTAACTTTGTAGAACTCATTATAAAGAACAAAGTTACCGGTCAGATTTTTGAAATATTGCTTTGATAAAAAGCTGAAACATTTTAAAGTTACTAAGTTTATTCGAAATTGAAACACTTTTATAGGCATCTGATTGGCTAGTATAAATCGATCAAAACTAGTGATAGTTCATAATTATTACTGCCTATAAAATAAAAACTACAAGCTAACTTTAATTCAACACTAATATCAATATTCAGATACTGTTTGGCTAAATTGAGGTTTAATTAAGGATCTAATTGGTCGTAATCACTAGTTGATAATTTTTGTGCCATGATTAGACCATACAAAGTTGATTTTCATTTTTCATAAATCAATAAAGCTAAAGCTTAGTAAACTATAAACTGCAATACCTTTTATAATAAATCTCAAATGCTTTATGTAATCAAATTTCAATAAACTGGTCATTTATCATATTGAATGACTTTGTGGTTAATCATAAACAAATAGACCTGACCCACCCGAACTTAAAAAGGATCCTATATATCTAGCCAAATGTCAATAAGTTCAGAATAATACACGAAAATTTAGTATTATGTTTTGTCCAAACACTATTTATTATATAAATTACGCGATAAATTTGTTTTGTCGATTAATTTTTGATCTTGTTTTGTTAATTGGCATTAATCCGCGATGCTTTATAATTTAAAAAGATGACAACAAATAAATACGATGCCTAGAAAAAGAGGTCGCTTTGCATCTTAAAAGGAAGAACATGAAGCCACCAATATGCAAGTTGAGGAGAGTGATATCACTGAGCCCACATTAGAGGATGATAAAATCGTTAATGCACAAGCGAAAAGAGAGTATAATAAAAATTTGAGGACAACGATCTGGCGACAAAATAAAAAGAAAAAGCTGCAAGATGCAAAAGAAAAGAATGTACTATTCGATGCTACAATATCAGATAATACATTACTTGATGCTTCAGTTGAAGCATCAAGTAATATATTACTTGATGTCTCAACTGAAACATCAAGTAATATATTACTTGATGTCTTAACTGAAATATTAAGTAATATATTACTTGATGCTTCAACTGAAGCATCAAGTAATACACCATCATTACAACTATCTCCTGCAACTATACAAAGCCCTCTATCACCTATTAACCTTACGGCAATCCTACGCATGCGTTTAGAAAAAGTTAATCAACAAGCTTAATAAAAAAATCATCCAAAAGCAATATGCCTACGTATGATTACTTACATTTATTAAGTATAAGCCGGTATATCCAGTTGTTACTAGATAAGCAAGGTAAAATGAATGCAAGTTTTCAGGTCACATGAACAGCGTGGAATAAGGGTGATTATGCAGCAAGATGTATTCGAAAATGGGGAGATCGTTATATAGAATCTGGAGAACTTTTTTCTTATAATCAAGGAAAACATAAAAAAGTCACAAGCTTGCTTGATAATGAAGTCTTTTTAAACGGATATCAAGAATGGTTGCAGCAACAATCTCCAGAGTCACGCTCCCCTAGGGCCCTAAAGATATATATCGAAAAAATATTGTTATCACAAGTAGATTATACAAAAAACACAATCTCTGAAAAAACATATCAAATATATATGCATACGTTGGGATACAAATATAACGAGAGAAAAAAAGGTATGTACTACGATGGTCACGAGCGGCCAGACGTAGTAGAATATAGAAAGAAGTGGTTAGAAAGAATGTTTAGATACAAAATGTATATGAAAGACTTTGTTGGTGATATGCTAGAAATAGTTATAGATCCTGAACTTGAGTCTGGTGAAAGAGAGTTGGTGCAAGTAACTCATGACGAATGTCACTTTTATACCAATAATGGATAGTGTAGAATTTGGACCAGGAAAGATGAGAATATTTTACATCCAAAACATATAGAGCGTTCTATAATGGTTTCAGCTTTCATATACCCGTACTACGGGTTGTTGCAACTATCAGAAGAGCAATTCCGTGCCAATATACATATTAAATATAGAGAAGCTTTTGTCATGCGCTCTGTACAGGAGAATGGATATTGGAGGTCAGAACACATGTTAGAACAGGTTTGAACTCTTTTTATTTTTCATTAATATATGTCGCAGATCATAATGAAATCGAGTTAAAATGAAATTTTGAGTTTCTATTTGACCACCTAAAACCCACTTATATTTGTTTATTATAAATTCTAAAGCTGACTCCTAATCCTAAAAAAGATAAAAATGCATTGTAAATTTTAATGGCTTGTCTATATAAAATTTCATTTTAATCTAATTTCATTTAATCTGCCACAATTATTACCAACCCTAGCTTTTAGAAAAAGCAATACCTATATTTGAGGTGTTGCATCCTGGATATGCAGGAGTCTTCTGCTTTGATCAATCGACAAACCATAACGCTATGGCAGAAGACGCATTGGTGGTAACAAGAATGAACAAAGGCCCCAGAGGAAAACAATCTAAGATGCGAGATGGTTGGTATATAGATGAGTATAGGAAAAGACAAAATCAAAAAATGGTATTTCCGGATAACCACCCAGTGCCAGAGTTGAGAGAAAAACCAAAAGGTATTTAGCAAGTGCTTGAAGAGTGTAATATCTGGCCTGCTGGTGGAGTGAATTTGGTGTGTGAGCGATGTTCTAAAAAAAGTGATGATGATTTTGAAGAACTAGACTGTTGTGCACTACGAATTATGTTACTACAACCAGATTTCTGTGAACAACAGTCAGTATTAGAAGAAGCTATTGTTAAAAAAGAGCATATTTTTGAGCAATATCCTAAATTCCATTGTGAATGTAATTTCATTGAACGATATTGGGGTTTCATAAAGCGAGAACTTAGGGTATCGTGCAATTATAATTATAAAGACTTGCTAAGGCAAATTCCTAAGATCCTCAATAGTGTTCCAACACCAACTATTCGTAAATTTGTCCAAAAATCATGAAGGTATATAGATGCTTATTCCAAGGGGTTAGCAGGTAGAGTAGCTGAGTGGGCCATCAATAAGTTTAAATCACATCATCGCCTGCCTGAAAATATAGAGAAAATAATAGATCAATCATAGATTAAAATAAAACAATTATATATTGTTTCTCGTCTATTTTTTTTTTTCATTCTGCCAACCTAATCCATAGTGCTATAAGTTGGGTTTAGTCCAACCTTAACCCATTTTCATTAAATTAACCTTGCTTCAGACTTGTTTTGGGTTGCTTCAGACTGCTCCAAATTTATAAGCATATTTTTAAGACACGCTTCAATATAGGCTGGGTTCGATCTGAAATAAGTATCGCTAAAAGAAAACCCGAAAATTTAAATATAGCTTATATTTAAATTTTCGAGTTTCTTCTAGCGATATTCAAATAGCTTCGAAGTATGTCACTTCATTAAAAACTTATTAATTAATATATTTAAAGTGCAGAGTGCTGAACTGTATTTAGAATAACGTAATTAAAGTAGTGTTATTAAAAACTGATCTACCCAACTAGTTGCTATTTTGTCACAAAAAAAAACTTCTTTAAGCTTAGACACCTTCTAAGTTATGATCATACTTTTCATATGCTTCCTTAGTATGACCAATTAACGAATATTTGTACAAGGAAAGACAATACTAGATTTGTTTTTAATTAGTAGTTAAGTTTTTGTGAAAACTTTTTCGTTTACTGCAAAAGTAAAAGGGTATATTACGTTATTCACTATATATCAGAAAATTGATAATCGATTGAATCGATCGGTCATTTTATTGGTCAATTTGCTAGTCACGTGAAAAATGATCATCGCCAAAAAATTGAAACATGTCATGTGATTGTCGGGTATAGACTTCCTGCACTATAAAAAAAAAAAATTTTTTTTCTATTTTAATATTTCATGGCCACCACAACATGGTGTATCTATCTTGTGTCTTGATTGCTTCACAAACTTGTTCTGGCATTGGGATAGATTGGACGATTTAGAATCTTATTTTGATTTTTTCATCTAGGCTACCTAGATCTTGCCCCAATGATTTTTTTCATCTGAAATTTGCCCTACAAATTTTTAAATGATTAAGTTTAAAAGGCGGAAATATTAATCAAAATCTTTGTCTAATTATTTCTAAGCTAATGTCTTAGAACTATCATGCTATATTTGTCATTATTATTTTTTATATAATTATTTTTTTGAATAGCAAAATCGTGATCTCTAATGATATATATAAAATATTAATGACAAATATATTAGTATAATTTAATATTCATCAAGTAATTGATCTTGCAAAGGCTATTAAAGTCACGAAACTTAATATAGAATTATACTTTTACAAACCTGTTCTAAAACTTTAATATTAAAAGCAAATTAATAATTTTTTAAGTTGGTTTTATAATATTATTTACTATTCAACTCAAAAAATTTCGAATTTTAGCTTGTTAGATGAAATTACCTAGACCTGTACTTGATAGACTGATTTTCACGAATTCAAGCCAATGTTTTCATCAATATTCATACGGATAAAGCTTTTTTACTTAACCTCTAGTACCAAACCATAATTTCTATATATAAAAAAAAAAAATAAACCTAAATTATTAATACTTTTTAATTTTTTCGATAAAACTGTTCTTTAATAGCAATTAAATAGCGAAGGTAGGTGACTCAATTTAAAATCGTCACTTGGGTTAGCTTATTGCTAACAGGTAAATGACAAACCTTCACAAATTTTTTGCAAACACAATAGCTCCACCACTTTTATTAGTATAAAGAGCCAGGAAGAAACTAAAATTACATATCTAACTTACCACTCTTGTAATACACAGGTTTTGCAGCAACGAAGAAACTAGGGCTCTTTTGAGTTATAAATCGTATATTTTTTTTTTTTGCTAGAACGTTATTTAAGTTCTATTGTAATACAAGAATCCAAAAATAAGAATAGATTTTCTAGTCACCTGATTCTTCGTTATACAATAGCTATCATCTGATCATTGTAAAAAATGATCAAAAGTAATGCAACATGTGATTTGTGCTATATGCTCACTTATCTTTACATTGGCAATAATAATAAATATTAAAATTTTAATATTGAAAAAAGGTACCATTTATGAGTAAAATAAAAAAAATAAAAGGATATATCCAGAATTGTGGGGAATAATATGATCTAAGTAAAAATTTTTTTTTGTTGCACTACTTATGATCACCAGTGTATATTCTAAATAAAATCAGAGATGTTATGCAAAATAAAACAATATTTGTATATCTTTTGGCAAGACAAAACTACCTAAAGCAAAATTTATATATTTTTTAAACAAAATTAGGAAGTTGAGTAATTAAATACAGAACTAAACTTTATTCAAAAAGTTATTACTCTTCAGACCCATCTATCCATTACTAATAATAAAAAAAAACTTAACTCGTATTGAAGTAAGTGACTTGCTAGCTTGTTCTATTATAGTATCAAGTAAATCTTTACTATTAATTATAGCTGAAAGATTATAAATGTATTGTTTATATTTATTGTATTTATCAATAATAAAATTATCACATTGTTGTTAATAGAGTAAAAAGCTTAATAGTAACTAGTTATAGTTAAGAATAAAGTAGTTATTATCTAATTTAATCTTTATTAAAAAAAATAAAACTTTAAATACCAAAGATGATGAAAACACTATAATAATAAAGTATATAAGCTTACTTTCTATTATTTTAGAAACTATTTTTTTGCAATAATAGTCTTTTTTCTGGTATTACTGCTTTATTTATTTGTGTTTCAAAAGAAGGTGTTTATATGATTAGTTAATTTTTTTTGATAACAACTAAATAGTTTTTTACTATATATCTGTATACTAATAAATAACTCAAATTATAATATTTAATATTAATTTACAATAAATAAAATTAAAAGATTTAAACTATATCAGAGATAGTTATTTTATTAATTTATTAAATAGTATTTAGATATCAAAAAGGTAACCCAAAAAGTGTAAATTTTACTTTTTTTGTATTGTATCTATATTAACAAAGAATTAATTTAGAAACTATTGCAGTTTTTATTAGCAAATTTAAAAGAGCAAAATATTTTAAAATAATTTGCAAAATGCAAAAATAACAAAATATTTTAAAAAAAAATTTTAAAATTTTTTAAAATATAAATCTTTCAAAATATTTCACAAATTATTTCAAGATATTTCAAAAATATTTTCGAAAACTTTATATTTTGAAATATTTAAAAATATTTTAAAAATTTTTTTTAAATGTTTTAAAATTTTTTGTTATCAAATTATATATTACAAGATTTGATATTTTATTTTTTATTTTTATTTATATTATCTCTTAAACTGTATTTCAGACAAATTTACTTGAAAAATTTAATTATATTTAGTATTTTTTAAATAAAATAATAATTTATTAATGATATAGAGTGGCATAGTGGGCTTTCATTGTAATTGGCTGATTTTTGTAGATCATCTCATGATATTACACAAATATCATTGATTAATCAAAATTATTCGCAAGACAAATTTATCATTATATCTGATATAATTAATAATTAAATATATATTTATTAATACTATATAAAATTAAATTGACAATAATAAATCCATTGCTACAAAATCTATTAATTCAAAGCCTAAAACCATTATCCCAATACAAGATCTTATTTTTTTTTTAAAAAAAAAAACTATTACACAAATTTTTTAAAAAAAAATTATAAAAAAGCATAAAAACAAATAAAAGATAAGAATCATTTATTTTGAGAAACAATAAAAACTATAAATAATTTTTAAATGTATATAATAACAGTTAATTAATGCCAAACAGATTTAGCAATAATTCTCATTGATGTAAAACACTATGCTTTAATAATCTTAGATTTCAACCTCTCATAAAGTTCGCAAGCTCATACTTTTTTTATTACTTTATGTCACTAATCTATTTACTCGTAATACATGCCTGTCTTTGAAAAAATAAATATGTTATAAATCAAAAAATAGATTAGCATTGTAGACTTTTAAAATGCTTATATGGGAGCATCCATAAATAATGTTATACAAGAGGGGGAGGGGGTTTCACAAAAATAATATTTTTTTTACGTTTTTTGCTAAGTTAGAGGGGATCGAAGAAAAATAACCTAATTTTTTTATAAAAATATTAATATCTCGTGACCCAGTGGTCCAAATTAGATAAATTTGGTACCATTGAATTCATCTCTGTGAGAGGAATTCAATGGTACCAAAATTATTCAATTTAGATTACTGGATCAAAAGATATTAGCAAAAAACTATTGGCTATATTATTTTATATGAAATTACTATAAAATTAACAGTTTTTTGCTTATATCTTTTGATTCGGTGATCCAAATTAAATATTTTGGTACCATTAGATTCCTCTCATTGAGATGAATCTAATGGTACCAAATTTATCTTATTTGGATTACTGGGTCACAAGATAATCAAGATTTTGTAAAAATTTATATATAAATATACAGATTTTTAATTTTTTTTTATATAGTCTAG